GAGCCAGTGCTGAAATGATTAATATTAAAAGAATATGTTTTGGTGAAATGTTGTGTTGAAATAATAACATCTGATGCATTTGAGGTGGAGCTGATCTCAATCTTCTGAGGGAAGAAGTTCAACTCTACAGCTGCACGCCACGTAATTTCTCGGTATCCCTGCGTGAAGAGCTGAAAAGGACAGATGTCATTTTCTGGCCCAGCTGCCTCCTGGTGAAGCGCTGTGGTGGAAACTGTTCCTGCTGCTCTCACCGCTGCTATGACTGTCAGTGTATTCCTGCCAGAGTCACAAAGAAATATCATGAGGTAAATTTAATCATGGCATGATGAGATCCATTTGATGTTTATTTTGTTTTTATCTGAACACATAATAATATGAAAAACACCTGCGATATGAGGTAGAAAAAATAGTTTTAATTATGGAATATTTGAATATTACTACAGTTTTATTCAGATTTAAATTGATTGTTTTAAACCTGGTTTTGTGCTGTTCCATTTTCTAAAGTTATTTTGGAGACTCATCAGTAGCCAGACACTCTGAAGGTGTTCTTTCTACGACTGAAAGGAAAAGTTCTCATCTATGTTATTTGATGGTTGCTTGGCTTTAGCTCGCATTTTCATTTCTTTCTAAACCAGGTCAATAATGTATAAAACTGGCCTTTACCCAGTTTAAACCTCCTGCCTAGCTCTTTTCTTTTAATGTATTTTGGGCCTCATCTTGGTACCATCCTTTCTTATTTGCCTTTTACTTATCATTTTGATACAAATATGGATTCTACTTTCTCTCCTAATAGCGTGTGGAAGTAATATAGGTTGTTTGTACAAACAGAAGGCTTAGTGGTCTCTAAGGCCAGCAAATGGCCACAAGCAGAAATTGGTTACACGGACTTTGAAAGCTTTGAAGGTTTTAAATTCTTCACAAAGCTTTACAAAAGTAATTTGTTTTCCCCTGATCTATGACATTTTAAAACGTGTCCTTGTATTCAAACAACAGATTTAAAAGATTGACAATTACTCCCAAACGATTATATGTGGCTTCGAAAAACCACCACATTGTTCACATTGTTTATGGAGCTTGTAGTGAAACAGTGCAAAGACGGTTAAAATCAGATTGCCATTTCTTATTTTGTGAATTTTAACATTCTAATTGTTTTTTTTACCTTCCAAAGTTTGCTACTTGCATACAATGTTATTTACACGGCTCAAAGTGTTTGCATTTCAATCAAAAATGGAGGATTTTTTGAAACCCAAACGTGATTTATGTACATTTTAACATGCATTTCTTCAAAACAAAACAAAATGAACAATGAACATAGAATTTTAACACATCTGTTTTGCATTACATGCAACATATCTTACACATGTCAAAGCAAAATATTATTGGTTGGACTGGTTTGATGTTTACAATGTACTACACAAAGATTTTTTGTTGTTGTACCAAAATCACACAAACATTTCCACCCATCATCTGTGGTTCCACCTTGCAAAGCAGCAGTTAAAGTTCTAAATCCACTCAACATGCTTTAAAAACACTGTTTCTGGCCTCTTTTGTAAACAGGTTCTACTGTTGAAACATCGAAGTGGTGTACGAGGTCTCCAGAAGTCCATGACGGATGTGCCCTTGGAACACCATGAAGAGTGTGCCTGCGTGTGTAAAGATGATTCTGACTGACCTCAGACATGTGTAACAGCTGCCAACGGAAGCATGCGGGATGTTAGAAATGAACCTCTGCCGCTGTTCCTATCTCATCCGCTACCACTGGAAGCTAACAAGATTCTCCTTTTATCCTGATGTCCTTTTACTAATTGGATGAAGCAGAACAGACTGGAATCTAATAAATCTTCCAAATGGATTTGACTGCTGTGGAATACCAATAGAGTGCTCTGAGTCCATTTTAGAAAGGCCAAAAAAAATAAAAATCACTGGAGCAGATCTGGACCATTACCTATGAGCTCTGAAGACTATTTTCTTCCATTCTTCTGAGATAAGAACACTGAGGCATTTGCGCCATTTCTTCCTGAGGTCTTTTTTAAAGTTCAGTCAGTGTGGGCTGATACTGTCATGAAAAATGGGAGCTTCTTTGTTCAAGTACTTTTTTGTATCTATAAGTGAGCTGGCTCCAGCTGCCTTGGCTCGCTCCCTTGGCTCCTCTATTATTACCATCAAGGCAAAGAAAGGTGGTTTTTAGCTGTTTCCTTTTGCTCCCCTCTTGTTTTACCACAGAGTTTGTCTGTGGCAGTGTACAACCACAGTATAGTTGAAATGTAACACTAATGAGACTGCATTACGTGTAAATATTTTGTTTACATTTCTTTTCTTTATTAGTGTGCATTTTCTGCCAAAGTTTTTCAAAGATAAGATCAAAGTTGCACATTCAGAATCAGTTAAACTCCTTTTTTAAGTCTTCATTTGATCCATCTCAGCAATATTAAATCTGCTTGCTCAAGAAATGCCTGGCGTCAAACCATTTTTTTTCAACATTTGAGATTGTTCACAATAAGTATTTATTTGTTTAAGGAAAGGGAATTTAGGTCCAAGATGACTTGTGTGCTACATATTTCACTGTTTACTAGCCTCCTCTCTGTTTGTAATTTTTACATTTTGATTTTCTTGTGGATGTTTTTTTTTTTTTTCATTTTTCTGTATGCCAATATTATTTATCTCTACTTTTGCTACAACTGTTTGTGTATTTTATAGTATTGGAAAGCAAAAATAAATTCTTCCATTTCTAACAGAATATGTAGTACTTGGGATTGGAAACTTGATCCAACCACTGATATGAATATAGGACCAAACTGCGAAAAACAAAGGCACACATACTTATGAAAATCATCATCCACCGATATTATTGTAACCATGAAAGTAAATGTTTAGTTTCTAAAATGTTGTCACAAAAAATAAAAAATGAACAATTTTGCCCCACAAAAGTGGGGATGGGTTAATTGGAAACTCTAAATTGCCCATAGGTGCGAATAGAAGTGCGAATGGTTGTCTGTATGGTAAATGGTAAATGGCCTGTATTTGTATAGCGCTTTTCTAGTCCCTAAGGACCCCAAAGCGCTTTACATACCCAGTCATCCACCCATTCACACACTGGTGATGGCAAGCTACATTGTAGCCACAGCCGCCCTGGGGCGCACTGACAGAGGTGAGGCTGCTGGACACTGGCGCCACCGGGCCCTCTGACCACCACCAGTAGGCAACGGGTGAAGTATCTTGCCAAGGACACAACGACCGAGACTGTCCAAGCCGGGGCTCGAACCGGCAACCTTCCGATTACAAGGCGAACTCCCAACTCTTGAGCCACGATCGATGTATATATGTGTTAGCCCTGCAACAGACTGACGACCTGTCCAGTGTGTACCCTGACTCTGGCCCTAAGACATCTGGGATAGCCTCCAGCGCCCCCTGCAACCCTCAAAAGGATAAGCGGAAGTGAATGGATGGATGAACAATTTTGCCACATAATGTAAACAGCGAGTCCCATTTATGAAATAGAAAAGTGTGGCGTATTATATTATTCAGTGAGTTTTTCTCAGCACAAACTTTGGTTTACTTCTGATGCACATCAAGGTGAATAATAATGCCAGGCAATCCACTAATGTTTTGGTAACCCAAAATGAAGCATTATATTTATTCACATGCAAATTTCAGTTAACATTCCACTAAATCTAGGGTCAGATATACATGTTGTGCCAGTTCAAACTGGGTTTGAAGTACTCTTGGTATTGAGAGCACAGTGACAGTAGTGCACGTAACAGGTGGGAACTCAGACATGTTTGCGATTGACCCAGGTGCGTATGTGTTTCTGGGAGTTCTTTTCTCAAGTCAAAAAAGATAGAGAGAGGAAAATATTAAAACTAAGTGTGATTTACTAATGCTTGTAACACGCAATTTACTGCTAACTGTGCCAGGAAAAAAAAGCATGTCTCATTTTTTGTGCCAGATACTGAATTGAATTGCCTGTGTTTAAAAAACATTACATGTAAAAGTAACCACACCTATGCGGGGATAGTGTGCACATGCTATTTTGTCCTATTTAGTAAATCTGGCCTTTACACATCGATGGATAAGTGTAAAGAATATCCCAAAGCCTATTTATAAAACCAGTTGCTGTTGAATTCTTATAATGGAATATAAACTGATGCATTTAAACGCTGAATTTAGATTGCTAAATCAAACACTTTACTGTGGTTTACTATAATATCTTGTGACTATTGGCTCATGGCAATAGTCGTGCAAATATTGTACACAAATGAGTAAATAGTAGGTTGGAATTACACTATAGTAGAGAATGATTTAGAGAACATAATTTGCCAAATTTCCCACTAATCATGATTGCGTATGAGTATACTTTTGTAATCCAATAAGACAAAGTTGGCAGGATGAACGTATGTTTTCCTGAAGAAGTGTGTTTTTCACTCCACAAGCTCTTTATCACACTATGAGCAGTATTGTTCATTCTCCCCTTGGCCATCAGGTCACCCAGGAGGAGGTTCTCATTTGTCCATCTCACACTGCTGTCCTGGCCAATTACTCTGATCTAATGTGAACCCTGGCAGGCATCTGCGGTGACGCCAGATGCTACTGCACAAACCCGCCAGCTCCCAGTGTGGCTTTTATAATATTAAACAGATTGTCTTTCTTTGTTGATGCAAAGGAAACCTCATTGCACTGGC